CACCTTGAATTGTGTCCGGAGACCAATTGGTAGCCAGTGCAGCTCGCGGAGGACAGGTGTAACGTGGGGGTACCTCAGTACACCCAATATCGCTCACACGGCTGCATTGTGGACTAGCTGCAGTCTCCGAATGCTTTTCAAGGGTAGCCCCATGTAGAGCGCATTGCAATAATCCAGCCTAGAGGTGACAAGGGCGTAACTAACTGTTTGAGGTGCCTCCTGATCCAAATACGGCCACAATTGGTGCACCAGGCGAACCTGGGCAAAGGCCCCCCCTGGTCACAGCCGACAGATGATGTTCCAGTGTCAGCTGCGAATCCAGGAGGACCCCCAAATTGCGGGCCCTCTCTGAGGGGTGTAAATTTTAACCCCTCAGGGGTGGTACAAAGTTCATTGCCATACCCTGCTGATGATACTCAGCTGTGCGTATCTGTCAGGCTCTTCAAGGTTATTTCCCAGTACCAATAAAGAGAACATGTGGCTCAATGTTGAACCATGGACTACTTGGTGCTCTCTGAGCTTGGTTGCTTGCTTGCAGATGTTTCATTACTCAACATCATCTCAGTGCTAGTGAGTTTGTGATTTGCTCTCTGTTTATATACAGCGGCTTGACCTGCCGGTGTTGGTAGCAACGTGGCTTTCTCTTGATTAGGATATCTTTTGCTGCTTAATGTTTGTCGGTTATTAACCCATGCTTATCTGACTGTTAGCAGCTGGAGAAGATGTCTTCTGGTGTTTTTGTTCTCTTCTTATTGTCTGTTTTGAATGATGTGGAAAAGGTGATTTATTTCTATGTGCATGTTGATGGTTGATTTGTCTGAATGCCAAGCTTCTAGGAATCCCTGAGCATTTTGGCAATTTAGCTGGGTCTAATCTTAGGCGTAGGATACTCACACTTTCCCAGTCGAAGCTATGGTTGAGTCTGTCTACGTGTTCTGAAATTAAGGAGCTTTTGTCCTGTCTTCTGGGTGTTGGTGGGCACCCTCTGCTTTTCTTCCGATTTGTCCCAAAGAGTGGCTATTACAGGCTTTACTGCTAGCAGAGGCAGAAGGAATGAGTCGAAACCAGCAGCTACAAATGACATTTCATTCCCCACTCTTTGAAGCCCAATTGTAAGGTCAGCCTCACTTGTGGAGAAGGGGAAAGGGAAATCCTCTTGACAGTGGAGGTGGGAGGGACTACATGTCTGCAGTTCCCAGAAAGGACGGGGATCAAACGTCTCTTCAAAAAGCTAATGTCTGAGCGCCCTCTTGTGGATTCGTGGAGAATTGTGATTTCAGCAGGTTACCTTGAGAAATCAGGCTAAACCTGGAAAACCTCCCCCCCCCTCCCCACCTTGAGCTCCCCCTGGAAGGAAGTTAATGACTGAATATGCAAGGTGAGTGTTGTAATTAAAATGGAAGAAAATTTCAATTTATGAATAATTTTGGGTGTATTGTTATTATTCATAACGCAAATTATTCCCGCAAGATGCTTCTGCATCAGATTCTAAAAAGTAGTTTAATGAACGAATGAAGGCCAATGTAGGTGTCCCAGAATAATGTTGCAGGATCTCATCTGAGTCGGTTACCAGGACCAGAGGTTTGGTCTTCCGGGCTTTCGCATCCGTGCTGGAGCCCATCCTGAGGGAGCTTCTCTCTCTCATCAAACATACACACACACTCTCTTCTAGAGAGAGAGGTTCCCCTGAGGATGGGCTCCAGCACGAGTCCGAAATCCCCGGTGACCGATCCAGGTTGGATCTTGGTTTAATTATATTTGCCAATTCTCAGTCTTTGAAGTGCCTTTGGATTAGACAAAATTGGACAATATAATTCTATATGATCAAGATTCAATTCATTTAAAAATTGAATGGCAATATAAAATTAGCAGCCTGAGAATGTAAATATTGAAATTTGAATAATTCAAATGTTCTTTTTTTTTTAATTTTCATGTTTGGTTTTTTTCCTCTCTCTTCTTTCAAATTGGTTTCTCTTGGTTATTTTTAATATATTTTTCTTTTCTAAAAATGAGTTCTTTTAGATTTTTCTTTTTACATATATTGTTATTTTATATCAGTTTTATAGTTTACCTTTATATTTACTATCATAAATATATTTAAGAAAATGTAATTGAATTTTCAGTTGAAGAAACTGAAATAAATTTTAATTGTTTTAAGAAACATTTTGAGACAACGTAACTGAAAGTTTGTAAAATTCAATAACATTCAAGACCAAGCCCTCTAACCCACCCACTCCCAAATAACTGAGCATCGCAAAGGTTGCAGGATTGGCAGATTTCAAACCCCAAGGGAACTCTAAATACTTAGTCAATTTTTGTTCTGCACCAGATCAAACCCTCTATTTTGTATTTCCATTCACTTTTTATGTACACGGTAGTGTACACAAATGTTGACCCAAAAATCTAAGAACTATTGGCTGGTATACAAAACTGGCCAGTTGGGAAAAGGGCCACTGGGGTTCCCAGTCTTGGCTCAGGCGGAGGCCCCGGAGGGAGTCCCAATGGCTGGAAGGTGGTGGCTTGAGAAATATTTAGTTCTCAAACATTTTGGTCCCTCGACCCCTTTACCTTATACTCTTAAAATGACCGAGGACCCCAAAGAGATTTGCTTTATGTGGGTTATATTATATAGCTATTGATATTTGCTGTGTTAGAAATTAAAATTAAGAAATGTTAAGATGTTTAGTTATTTAACACACACAGACCCCCACACACACCCCGGAAGATCCAAGGAGGACTCGGTGGTTGTCTGGCTCCTTCGGGGAACCGCATTTGACGGCCTGCAGCATAAGAACAGCCCAATATGCTGGCTGGCCCCACGCAGTTGGCTACTGAACCCACTGAAGGCACGTGGCTGGGAAGGCGCTACTTGTGTTTTGTCTGAATAGGTGGTCAGCTTACAAACCAACTTTCTTTTGAGAGGTTACTCTTTCGGCACCAATGTGAGGCTTCTGGCAGGGAATGATACAATATTCTCTGTATATTTCCAAAACAGGAAAACATTCATATGAAATGGACATTTTTATCAGCTTTACATCACTTCGATGGCAGGATGTAGCCCTTGTTAATGCTAAAGTCAGCCAAACACGTCTTTAGGAAATTTGACCTTTCTCTTATGGAAAAGTACAACATCCCTGGATCCTCTTCAATTGACTGAAAATCTTCCCTGCTAAACAAGAAAAATAACTGCTAAAGATAATTGTTTTAAAACACTTTAAGACGATGCTGAGGCAATGTAGAAGAAATTGACCCGCAGTTTACGATTTAAAAGGAAAAGGAATAGAATGACCGGAGCCTCCATTCCGCCAGGCCTCCTGAGTGCCTGTCAGCCAGCACTCGGGACTTCCCTTCCCAGGGCTGGGCCTCAGAGGGAGAGAAACAGAAGCCAGCAGAGGCGAGTTTTTACCTGCTGAGCCAGGTCCAGTTCTAACCTTCTTTGCAGCTCCCAGCCCACCTCGGAAACGTGACTGGGGGCGGAGGAGGAAGGAGCAGCCGCAGTGGGTCCTTCCCAAGGACACCGGCTGAGTACCAGAGAGCTCAGCTTAAGGAAGCCCCTGGACTGGCCCGGAAGAGCCTCACTTGCAGGGGGGGAAACTTCGTGCTGGTGAGTAAGAGGGAAAAGGAAAGTGGACGATCTCTCCTTCCTCATCTAGTCCCACATAACCTCCTGAATCCAGACTTCCCATTACCCAGAAAGAGTCACTGGGTGTCCCTGAGCACAGCCGCAGATTAGGACAGGTTAAAAGGAGGACGGGGGCCGCTGGGTGGGGACTCTGGGGAGGGGTGTGTGAGTGAGTGAGTGAGAGAGAGAGAGAGGGAGGGAGGGCAGGAGGGAGGGAGGGAGGGAACCTACATGCCGATCTGAGTACAGTCCCCAGTCCCTGGACTTGCCTAGGTTGTTCTGGGGGGGCAACATGGGTTTCCTCAGCTTGTGTACAAAAATATCAAAAAAGTGGAAGTGCGAAGTGTCAGGAGCAGAGCAATAAACGGTGGTGTCCCCCTCCCCTCCAGACCAAAGGAACACCTTGGAAGAAGGATGGTTTTGTTTTCCCATCCTGATGACCAACACTCTTGTGTCCCCTTGCAACAGGGGCAGGTGCTTCTGTGTGGCAGGAACAAAACAGGCTCTGCAATACCAAGAGAGCGGGCGAAGCACAAAGTGAGCCCAAGGTCAGAGTCCCATTAATCTCCTTCCAGCCTTGGCTTGATCTCAGAGCATTTCACCCCCGATGACCTTGCTGACTTTTACTCTGCTGTATGGCTTCTTCCCTCCTTGCTTTTTCAGAGCTTCCAGATCATGCTTTAGCTCCTGTCATTCGAGCAGACACGGGCCTTCCTCTTCAGGCAAGCTTTGGGAGACGCCCCAGTGGGCTACTCTTCCAGGGCCTGGACTGGACTGGATTAATACAGGTGGCTCTTTTACACCTTTGAGGCTGCGGCAGCCTAGCCCAAATCTTTGGGTGGGCTGGTACAAAAATGCAATGAACAAACATGTTGCCACTTCCTTCCTGAGTAGAGGGCAAGTAATTGGCACACCTTCTTCCAAGTCAGAGTCGGCCATCAATTTCACATACTTTCAAAATATCCGAGTAGAATTATAAAAAAAAGTGTGAGTATGAAACCTATTTTTTCAACCACTTGCTCTTTTTAAATGGTTTAAAACAAATTCCTTCAGGATGGCAATACAATAATACAATACAATAGCAGAGTNGGCCGACGCCTTGCTGGCTGCTCTCCGGGAGCCGGGACTCCTGCGTCGTCTGGTGGGACCTCTTCACCGGGGAAGCGCTGCACCGCTTCGCGCTGGACGCGGGTCCCGTCGCTCGCCTGGCCCTCTTGCCGGACAGTTGCAGGGTGAGTCGCGGCGCCCGAGGTGGCTCCCTGGGAACTCAACCAGGCGGGCCGGCTTCTGTTTCGCTCCAGGAGTTTCGGGGCGGGCTAGAGGGGGCTCCTGCCCTGCCCTGAGCGCAAGCGCCCCCGAGGCCGCCCGCCACGTGTAGCCCGACCGAATAAGTCTTCCTTGCTTTGTTTAGCGGAAAGGTCACCGCCTCGTATGCTGCGTGTGTAGCGACCACTCCGTCGTACTTTTGCACGTGCAGGAGCGCGCCTGCCTTCTGCGTGCCAGGAAACACCTTTTCCCCGTGACGGCGTTACGGTGGCAGCCCGTGGAGAATCTGCTGGTCGTGGGGTGTGAAAATGATTCGGTTTACGTTTGGGACATTGAAACAGGTGACGGAAGCGAGCCTGCCCCGATTCGCCCCTTCTCAGCCCCTGGGCGTCCTTTGGAGCTTCTTTTAGTGATCAGCAGGAGGGAACAAACGGACTCTCACGTGCCCCTTATTCTTCCTCCTCCAAGTCCTATTTGTGATTATTACAGGAAGCAAAATTGGGCCCGAATAGATCTGCTTTTTGTCTCTCACCCAAAACCTAGACCTGTTATAAATAGACTGCAGAAATGGGGGTGACAATTAGATAGCAGGGATCTATGCCATCATCAAGTGGCCATCTCAGTTATCAGCTCAGTTAATTGTAAGTTTATGGACAAATAGCCATGGACCCTGAATCCTTATCTCTGCTTGTCCGAAGAGAACCTCGATTTCGATTGCAATAATTGGGGCGGCCACTAGAGGGCAGCGTTTCTTAGCCTTAGAGCAATGGGTCTCAACCTTCCTAATNCCTCTTCTTTGGGGCAACCCCTGAGATATTGGAACACTGCTATCATGTCTCCCCTGGTGCTTCTATTAAACTAGACGTACCCAGTTCCTGCAACCATCCTTCATATGTTTTAGTCTCCAGACCCCTAATCATCTTTGTTGCTCTTCTCTGCACTCTTTCTAGAGTCTCCACGTCTTTTCTACATTGTAGCTGAATGCAGCATTGCAAGTGTGGCCTTACCAAGGCATTATAAAGTGGTATTAACACTTCACATGGTCTTGATTCTATTTCTCTGTTTATGTAGCCTAGAACTGTGTTGGCTTTTTTGGCGGCTGCTCCACACTGCTGGCTCATATTTAAATGGTGGTCCACTAGGACTCCAAGATCCCTCTCACAGTTACTACTATTGAGCAAGGTACCACCTATACTGTACATACCAATAACCTGAGAATTAAACTAAAAAAGGAGAGGATGTTTAACAATAGTTGGCGAAAGCCTCCCATGCTTGACTTTTCAGCAAAGTGCTTTGTGTGCAAAGGCCTTGTGTCAGTTCTGTGGGACCGCACTGCACCGAGACTGAGGGAGGCCTGTGGAAACCTCTGGCAACTGGGTGGGCATGTACTCCTTCATGATCGAAGGTGCTCCATTTCCACGCCTCCCCCCAGGTGCAACATAAACTGTTTTAATTAATGATTGGCCACTAAAAGACATGACCACTTCACCAACATAGGGCATTTCAATTGAACCATTGCCCTGCTGACTAATGAAGAAAATAATTCTTGCAAATGATCCCAGAGAAAAACCATTTCCCACTGAGAAAGATTCTGAGCAATCAGTTAAGAGTGGCAGCACAGAGTTGTATTTGTGATCAACAGCTGGAGAGCCTCTCCAGCTGTGTCCGTACAATGGTGCAGAGTGAAATTAGTCTTTCTTTTTTTAAACAAAAGTTGTAGCAGACTCTAGCTCTCTGCCTGGCCTGGTCTCCTAATCAGAGCAGGTATATGAGTGAGGGGCAAAACAGGGCACGCAAACTCAGTCCCAGCTGCTCACCCTGGGGGGGATCCCTCCCATTTCTCCCCCCCCCTACACCTCCCCTAATTGGTTTCACTCCAGTTGGTTATCACTGACCCATCATTTGTTTTCCGGTATGTATGTATGTATGTATGTATATATGATGTATGTATGTATGTATGTATGTATGTATGTATGTGTGTATGTATGTGTGTATGTATGTGTGTATGTATGTGTGTGTGTGTGTGTGTGTGTATATATATATATATATGTATGTATGTATGTATATGTATATGTATATGTATATGTATATGTATATATATGTATATTTCTGTCAAATACATTTTCATAGTGTCCAGTATATTTGTCGAGTTCTAAGATCTTTTATGAGTGGCCCTTCACTTAGAAAGGATATTCCAAAGAAATTTATTGAATTGAAAGCTTTGTTTATTTATTCATCCATTAATCACATTTATCTGGACTGATTAAATAGGCGGATGGTCACAGCTCTCTAGGCAGTTGACACAATGCAGGTAAAGTACAGTACAGATACGGCGTAGAAGAAGGTGGCGTTCAACGGGCGTTTGGTTAAAACCAGCCTCGGCTGGAAAGAGAGAAGGAAGTGAGAAAGAAATTTAGCATTGTCCTACCTCGATTCTCTTGCATAGTTGGGGGGGGGGGGGGGCGGAGGAGAGAGCAGCTCTGCCAGGCTTCCAAGAGTATCTTAATTATAGTTGCAAGAATAAAGTCAGTTCCGGGAGTTATATGGTTATCATTCACCAACAACCTTATAGCCTGGTTTGAACTAATTAAAGTTTTTAGACTTTTCCCAGAGGGAATCTCGGATATAGCAGATTCCACTGACCATCTAGAAAGTTAAGAGAGTGTGGATGACTACAATTGCAAATGGGCGGATAAGTGACAATCTCCATTTCACTGAAGCCCAATTAAAAATAGCTGCAACTGTCTGACTCTGTTGAATGCCAGAAGATCCAAAGCTACCCACTTCAAGCAAAATGAAAAAGATTGCAGAATTGGCCTCTCTCTCTCTAACATCCAGGCAAGGGAGACCTGTGGAGCAGGAAGAGGCCAACTCCCTCTCAATTGTCTGATTCCTTTGTCAGTTTTTAGTCAAGGGAGGAAAATTAGCTTGCTTGGAACACTGACATTATGCTTGGTTTATTGATAGTTGCCTAAGCTATGCAAAAAGTCCAGGTAAGGAAAATCACAAATGAAGGATTGAAAAGCTTTAACACAATCCAAAGGAAAACAACTCCTCTCAACCTGCTTTTTAAAAAGTTGTCCCTGTTTTTTCAGACGAAGCCACTATGAGGGATTCTGTTCAGATGGTGACCCTGTGGGGCAAAGAAGCCCCTCCCCACAGCATCACAGCTATCCTCATCACCGATGACCAGAGAACCATCGTCACCGGGAGTCACGAAGGCCAAGTCTGTCTTTGGGACCTGTTGCCAGACCTCCAGGTGGGAAACGTTTTCCTGCTCCCAGCACCCCTCCGGTCAGAGGGAAAGCTCCTCAACAAGGACCGCCTCTCCCCCCGGCAGAATTGCCCATTCCTCTTGGGAGACCCTAACCCTTTCACAGGCCAGGGAGGAGCGGTTTCATCCTTCTCGGTAGAATGCTGTTTTCCATCTAATCCGTGATTGAAAATCAGTCCTTTTGATCTTGTTATACAATTAACCTTTTGCCCTTGCAGATGTCATCAAGGCAGATGCTTTTGGGGCACACAGCATCAGTGACGTGTTTGGCAAAGGCAAGAGATTTCGAGAAGCAATCGTACGTGGTCAGTGCTACTGAGAACGGGTCAGTCACTCGGCATTTCCCATGACACCTCATCTGTGGAAAGTTCTGAGTTGCAGGAAATAAGGCATGCTGTTTTGGAACAGTAGAGGCGCCCTGTGGCTTTTCTTAAGAGTAATTCTTACTATGGTAGGTCAGGACTGGGATGAGCATCTCTGAGATTTCAGGTGAAAAGGGGGGGCTAGCTGTAGAAGAGCCCCAGAAGGTGTTTTAATAAAAGAGGGAGGCCCAAGAAGAAAGGGAAGATTGGTCTTCCGAAATACAGAGAAGAGACGGGGGCCTTGAGCCATTCTCCAGCAACACGAGAAACTTTGTGTAACCTGCCCCTGATGCTGGCTGCTAATAGAAGCAAGGTAGCTTGTTCTGAGACAAAAGTCATTTTCTATGCTTTCTTTAAGACAGCTCACAGAACAGAACTGTTCCACTATAGGTGAGGAAGTTTAAGCCTTAACCATTTTAAAAAGCAGATTTAATCATATTTCAATAAAAACTGGTTTCGGTGCAACTTACACCTTATCCACTTCCATCTGTCCTTAAATTTCAAAGTAAATCCCATTTGTGTGTGTGTGTGTGTGTGTGTGTGTGTGATAGCTCATCATCAATTGTTGTTTTGGCAGAGAGATGAGCATTTGGGACATCACCAGTGGACGGTGTGTAGAGAATACAAGGCTTCCATTTCGGCACACAGCCATCTGCGTAAGTAGAATGCATCCTTACCTGTGTTCTCTTGAGTACCATCTCCTAGCAGCTTCTTCTTACATAGGTTTTGTTGGTGTCTCCAGTAGTTTGATGAAAAAATGTTCCAGAGGTGAGAAAGGACTAAAGTGAATACATCCTACATCTTTTTTTAAAAATTGAGTAAAGATGCAACTAAATGAAGATTTCACCAAATGCTTAGAAGTCCCAAACTTCTGGTAAGCACTAGGGATTCAGGAATGCTTAGACTGAATCTGGCATGCTGTTTCTTTGAAGGAAGGAACCAACTGGATAAGATCAGGCCACCAACAAAGTACGTAGCTCCTGCTGCCACGGAAATGCAGCTGCGCACATCTTCAGTCCCTGCTGTGGTCTCTCTAGCAGTGGGGCCATGAGCCTACTGGCAAAGTGGCTTCAGGCTTGGAACTGGTAGAGAAGTCACTGGTTTCAGACAGAATCTGCAGATAGCTCCAAACAAAATGCAATGGCTTTGTTTTATTGCACTAACCTACTTCTGTACTGCAGTGTCTCTTTAAGTGCATGAAATTTAGAATTAGAATTAGTAGGTTCAGGAAACATTTATAAATGGAACCCAGTCATGTGATTTGCTTGCATGGTAGATGAGGCCGAGAGGCGTCTCTCTTCCACTTGTGCATGAGATCTCTCTGTTCTGTGAAGAAGTATCTGCTTCGTGCATCTTTGGAACAGCACCCATAAGAGATTGAAGTGGGAATGGAAAAGGGTCCACGGGGCTCCCTTTATAAGTCTAGGATGCTACTGTGAGCTGTCCAGATGCAGTATTTTGGTCGGCCACGAGAGGGCAGAATGCACTTGGCCTGATCCATGCATCTCTGGGGTTGGCGTGCCGTTTGGTAAAGGATGTTCCCAACTAATGTCTAGCAGGGATAACTGGTGTGCTTCTCAGTGGACTCCGGTCCTGCCAGCTAACCTCTCTTGCCTTTCCTCCTTTGTACAGTATTACCACAGCTCATTTCGCATGGCAGGAGACGGCTGGCTGGTCTGTTGTGGGCAATATAACGACATCCTCATTATTGATGCGATAACCCTAGTTGTACTTCACACATTAACCTCTTCTTCCACTTCAGACTGGATCAGCTGCATGTGTTTAGTGCATTCTCTGAGGATTCAAGGTATATTTGCTGTCAAAAATATGCAAGTTGGATGCTTCTATGGGAAGTTATCATCCATGCTTCTCCATAGATACTGTGATATATAGGAGGATTGATGTAAAATTATACAAAGAAATCACCTAAAATTTCTTTGGTGAGTGGGTGGGCACATGCCTGTTTGGAAATTACAGGAATTGGTCAGAGCTGCAGAATACAGTACTGTACATCATTGTCAAGAAGGCTGGTGGTTTCCTCCCAGAAGAGCCTTCCACCTGCTGGGGAGGAAGGCTGGATTCTCTGGGCCTCCTTTTCTTCTGGCCACACTTCTTAAGCCCTGGTGCAAGGACAGTTCTGCCTACTCTCCGAACCCTGGGATAGTGAATGAGGGCAGAGCAAGCCTACTTGAACAGGAGCTGCAAGGACCCCAAATGGGTGCACCCACCCACAGACACAAAGGGGGGCACCATGAGACGCCCCCTGGAGGCTGGGTTTAGGTGCATTGGCAGGGTCTTGACCCTTCCATCTCGGGCAGGCAAGAGCAGCAGCACCGTTTTCTTGCCCGCCACTCCTGGTGCCCCCTGCTTGTGACTCTCCCACAGCCATCCTGTTTCGCTTTTCCAGAGGATTCTCTACTAGCCGTCTCTGCAGCAGGGGACCTTAAAGCCTGGGATTTGTCATCTTCGATCAGCAGGATACAGGTGAGAAGCAGCAAAGGGCCGTATCCTGGGCCAGGTGTCTCTTTCTCTTCAGTCCGGCAGTGTCGATGCAGGGGGGAGGAGGATTAGCAACATCCCTGTGAGTGGACACAGAGGGGCCCCAGGTGGTGTTGAAACTTCTGGAAAGTTCTGCATCCAGGCCCCAAGCTGAATGCAAAGCAAGTTGTTACCTAGAAAGGAGTGATCGTATTTGATGTTAAACATGATGAGAAATTAATTTCCTGGACCTGACATGGATTTTACAGGGAGAAAAAAACAAGTCAGGCTTTTTTAAAAGGGTCCATTTCGAATCTCAGACAAATCAGAATAACTAGAAAATAATTTATCTTACAAAGAATTCCTAAGATTTGGTTGCAATTATATTTCTAGCATAAATTTCCTAAGAGAATCCAAATTTTAAAATATGTATATTTCCAAACAAGAAAATATGGGCAACTTTCTAACTGTCCTAAATCAGATATTGTATGGCTTTTGGCATAAGAACTCACAGCTAGTATATTCTGAAGGAGTACAAAGGGGCATAGGGGGTATTCTAGGAATCTAGGAAACGTCATGATGCACAAATACTCTCTTTTCTCAGGAAAAAAAAAGGGAATTTTACTTTCAGTTAAAGTAGATTCTGTGCTCCGTAGATACGCCAGTATAAAATCTGCCATCAGTCTGGGGAAAAGTCAGTGCAGTCTCCCTCCAGCTTTTGCTGTTTGTTTCGTGTTCTCGGTCTTGGGTTTTATTTCGCCTAACCTATGACAGGGTAGAGAATGTCCTGGAGGTCTCCTAAAATCCCAAATTTCTTCTTTCCATTCCTCCCCCCAATGACCTTTCCTTTTTCTTTCAATGTGCAGGAGAAGCAAAAGATTTTTGAAAGAGAATGCCAGCCTCTGGGCTGCACACCCTGCATGGCAATCCGATTCTGCACTTATACGGAGAGGCTGCTCTTAGTTGTATTCTCCACCTGCTGGAAGGTATTAGTTTAGTTAAGCAATGCATGCAATATTAGGCCTTTCTTCACAAATAACTTTAAGAGCTTATCAAAATGCAGAAACTGAACGAAAACCAAAAAATAATCATATACAAATTGTAATAGAGAATTAAGTCATACAAAATGATCATGAATAGACTAGTGTTTCATAAACCATATCAGACTAAACTAATGTTACTGATTTTAACACACATCCATTTCCCCCAATTTGAGAAACTAAATTAAAGCTATACCAGAATGTGAACATTCATGTTTCATTTCTTTACAGTAATGAATCCAAAGAATGTTCTTGCCTTTGCAAAAGGCATTTTGTTATTCTAGGTCAGAGATCTTCAAACTTGGCAACTTTAAGACTTGTGGACTTCAACTCCCAGAATTCTCCAGCCAGCAGAGCAACTCCCAGAGAATTCTGGGAGTTGAAGTCCACAAGTCTTAAAGTTGCCAAGTTTGGGGACCCCCGTTCTAGGGGTTTCCTTCCATGTTTCTGATAACTTTAGTGATTGAATGAGTTTAATAAATGAACTGTTATGCCCTGAGCTGATGAACTGTCTGGCCACGGTGTTCCTGGTTGTGCCAATGCTTTTCTCCACTGCACTTGCTGGACAAAAAGAGCCCCCCCCCCCCCGGCCCTCTCAGAAATCTTCCACAAGGCCTTCATCACACCCAGATTTTCCACTGTTCCAAGATTCCTCACGCGTGTATTCACATTGCTCCCATGATCTGTAACTGCTTCCTCTGATGAGAGGGAAGTAGAGGATGGGACAGGGCTCTGGCTAGAAGGGACAGATACGTATCTTTAATTCCCCTCTTTATAGCAACGGGGGGGGGGGTCACCTTCCTCCTCTTTGTCTCTGGCTCCAGGTGTACGATTACTGTGACTTTTGCTTGCTGTGGACTGAGTTTAGCCCAAGCAGCCAGGCCTTGGCAGGAGGGGAAATCCTGGCTGCCCACCGGTTGATCATTTGGACAGAAGATGGGCATGGCTACATCTATCAACTGGTGAACAGGTGAGTCACACCAAGTGCAAGGGAGTTGGCGGAAGCACCACCTGGATCCTGTGAAGCCTTTTTATGGCGAAACCCTCCACATTTCTAGGATCCCGACTGGGGGACCCTCCCTTTGGTCCAAGGAGCTCTTGGCCAGGCATCCGCATGGCCTTGTTGGCCGAGAGGGCATGCTCTTTGGGGCAATTCCCAGAAGGAAGGCTACCAGAGTGGCTTTCCTTCCCATGCACGGCCAGAGGACTGATCCTTCCTCTTCCCATGTCTTTAGTGGGCTTTCACGGAGCATCCAGCCATCCAAAGGAAGGGTGCTGAAAGAAACCGTTCACCCCGTTCTACTTTCTTCTACTGAGGTGCAAGGCAACAAAGTGAGTTGGCTGGGTTTCTAGAGACTTCCCTGGGTTTCCATAAATGCAAGCACCATTACCAACCAAAACCCATAAAGCTAGGAAATGAGGGCATTTTCTCCAAGGATTTTCAGTTTGCCATTCGGATCTCCATGGATTCCATTGTAGGAAGTTAAAGGATTCAAAAATGGCTCCTTGCTTTCTTTCATGCTTCTTGCATCTCTAAATTTGTGTGCTCTAAGCTGAAAATGAATTTATGAGTGAGTGGAAGCCACTCTCAGCCTCAGGCTGTTCAAACTGCTAGAGGTGAAGCATCATTATCATAAATGAGTGCGTTTCTCAGACCGCTGTACTAATATGCAAGAAAACACAGAGAAAACTGTGGGAAGAGGGAACAAGCAGAAGCAGAAGCAGAAGCGGTCTGCAAACTGTGAATTGGGACTTGTGGGTGCTCCTCAAAGATGCTGAAGAAGCTGATCATTTGCCAGCTAACACAGCTCCTCCTCTTCGGGGATTTTATTTTCAATAGAGTTTTTCTTACGTCATGGGCTTCATGAACGAAAGGAAGGAACCCTTTTATAAGATTCTTTATTCTGGACAAGCTTCTGGGAGGATTACTTTATGGCACGTTCCGGATGTCCCTGTTTCAACTCTAGATGGCTCTCCAAAAGGTTAAAATATTTTTTATTTTAGAGGTTGCAAAAGATGAAAATGGGACCTCCTAGCGTAAACTCCAAGACTTGCTATTTTGCTTATCTTCTCTATTGCATTCAGAGGGTGGAATGGGGTTGGCTATATATATATCACTGCTAAATAATATAGGCTTTGGGAAGGGAGACAGTAGGTAGTGCCAATGGCTAGAGGAGGCCATTAGGAGGGGTGCTTGCACTCATCTTCTGCTTATTCTCCATCCAAAGGCTTTTGCCAGGCCCTGAACACTAAACTAGCGGGACCCAACTCTCCTCAAGGACAGGAACAGGAAGGTGCCACCGCTGGCATCTCAGGGTTTTTTTCTCCGCAGTGATCCCAGTAGCAGCCTCCAGGACTCTGCAGGATAACTTCAACTTCTACCATCCGGTAGCTGAAGGTACCCCTGATCGCCCCTGGGGAGCTCCCATCACGGTTTCTACATACATCCCCAGCCTCCAGAAGTTGGTCTGTGGATATAAAGACGGCAGAATTATCACAGTACCAGCTTTGCATGCGGCGAAGGCCAGACTGCTGGGAGAGGCTTCCGTGCAGAAAGGTGAGCAGCTTTGCAGCTTTACAATAAGGGGGGGGGAGGCATTAAGGTTCCCCCCTCACCTGAACAAAACCTCCCTCAACTTCCGAGTGCTTCAGGGACACTGACTTTTCTTGGCCAGGAGCTCTTTCTCCTGGGCCTCTTCGACTCCTCGCCCCCCGCCCTCCACGCCTGCAACCGTGGGTTTCCTGGGGGTCCAACTGAGCTTGGCCTCTTGGCCCTCAAGCCCAGAACAAGTGCTCGTCCATCGCCACAGGGCAGCCATTTTATGAACATGGCCTCCCCCTCTACCTCCGCCGGGGTCTAGAAAGGCCGGCTCCGGTTCCGGCTGCCCGGGGGTCGATCTGGAAGACCTGCTGCTGGATTCCCCCTCGGGGAGCATTCTGTGCCGCCCACTCCTCTCCCGCCTGCTCCCAGGGGCCAGCGGGAGACCCGCGCAACGCCCGCTTCAGCCGGGGCTCCTGGGCTGCAGAAACACGGGGCGGGGAGGGGGGGTGATCCTGGCGTTACTGGCCGCTGCCCGCCCAACTCTTTCTCGCAGACGCCGCGGCGGCACGCGTGCTGAGCGGCGCCAGCGGCAGCGGCGTGACGGCCCT